CTTGACAGAGCTCTTTTTGGATACGTAGAGCTGTGTGGGTTCAAAACCCATGTGATTTTCCCTACATATACCAGTTTCTCATGGCCGTGTCGAAGCTTTGGTGGCTCTACTCTGGAAGTATGCTAAAACAGCCTAGGATTTTTGTTTTATACACTACCCCAGCAATATGTGGAAGTCGTAGATTTTTTTTTTTTAATTATCTATTGCTTTGGAACGTTTATTAAACCAAAAGGCTAGTTTTCAAGAGAGACTTTATGTGTTTATCGAGTTAATTGATCCAAGTCTGCAAGATATGCATGTGTAATGTTTTCCAGTATGATGTCATTTTAGGGCTTGGCTTGTCTTTCCATACATGATGAATCATGTAGATAAACCCTCCTGTCAGGTTATCAGATAATTCTACAGATGTAGGTAGTGTGTAATCTTAACCAGCATGGCACATTTGATGATTTTATTTGAATATTTATGTCTATGTTTTCAGTTCTCAGAATGGTATTTGCCTAATCTCTGGTGCTCTCCTGTAGAGGGGTATTATTAATTATGGTACGCTTCCAGTAGTTTGTTCTCACCTCTCCTGCTTTTACTTAATTGTACTATCGCTCCCAAGGATCTGAATATGGCTGTGAGTAGGAATTGTGGTCCTTGATTTTTTATCTTTCTGTGTAGCTATCCTCTTCTGTCCTTCTTCTTTATTTGGATTGATGTTGTTTTACCCTTTTCAGAGGTGTTGGCTTTGAATAAATTTAACTTTTTTTTTTTTTTAATTGAGTTTTATTTTTTTTAGGGCATATCAAACCATTTTCAGTTGACTTTGGATAAATGTTACTGTGAATAATATACAGTACTATATAAATCTCTGTATTAAAGGGTATATAAGAATGAGACATGCCTATGGTGTTTAAAACTGCCCGAGCCCACTCATAACGGAGCGTGAGTTATAGGTAGAGTAATTTCTAGAAATTATCCCACCAGTGCTGTCAGTCAGGCAGCCCAGAAATCTTACATTAAAATTGGATTTGCAGGGAATTCAAAGTGAATTTAAAAATATAGGCCACTTCTGTGTACAGTTTGTCCGTTTTTGCTTTACATTTGAAATTCACTTTGAATTCTTATTTACTGACCAACCCTGTTACTTTCTGTTTGCCAGTATTAACCATGCTTCTTGAGAGAAAAACACAATACTAAACAGACTGAGCAGTTCCAATCATCCTAGAGATGATTGGAACTGTTCTTTGAGAATAAACTACTTGACCCATAATCCTTGTTTTTTTATAGGATCATCTCATACTTGTGTGTGTGATAGGTCTGCCAACAACTGCAGGTAGACCTACAAAACAGTGTACTGATAGCTAATTTAAATAATTGTAAATATGTCAGTATAGTTTATTGTATAATCTATATAATACATTTAAAATATATGGTCAAGTTTGACAAAGATGGATTTCAAATTTAAAGCAAGGGTTTCTGAATGGAAGGCATTTAAAACAAATTATGTGAAGTTAAAGGACCACTATAGTGCCAGGAAAACATACTCATTTTCCTGGCACTATAGTGCCCTGAAGGTGCCCCCACCCACAGGGACCCCCTCCCTCCGGGCTCTGGGGGAGGAAGGGGTTAAACTTACCTCTTTCTCCAGCGCCGAGCGGGGAGCTCTCCTCCTCCTCTCCTCCCTCTTCTTCCGTCACCGGCTGAATACGCATGCGTGCATTCAGCCAGTCCATAGGAAAGCATTCACAATGCTTTCCTATGGACGCTGGCGTCTTCTCACTGTGAAAATCACAGTGACAAGCGTGGAAGCCCTCTAGCGGCTGTCAATGAGGCAGCCAGTAGAGGCTGGATTAACCCTATTATAAACATAGCAGTTTCTCTGAAAATGCTATGTTTATAAAAAAAAGGGTTAAACCTAGCTGGACCTGGCATTAAGCTGAAGTGGTCTGGGTGCCTATAGTGGTCCTTTAACACAGAAAATTTGCTTATGTGTATTAATATTTTTCAACGAGAATAGCATTTTGTGATAAAAGGTTTCAAAGCCAAATAAAATGTTTTAAAGGCATATTCTTCAGAACATGTTGTGAAGGTTGAATATAGGCAACTAGTCATGAAGGGGTTTTTCGTCCACAATTTATTATACCCAAGGTATTTATTAAACTTACATTTAAAGATTTAAAAATATAAATTTAAACACAAATGTAATGTTACTAGGTATGAGCCAACACATATCACTTCTTTCTGGATCAAGAAACCAGACCTAGTTTATATGAAAAAATCATGTTCAAGATATCATGAACATATCAGGATTCTCAGCAGCACGCCTTTTTCAAAAGTATTTTTTTTTTTTTTTTGCCCATTCATATTTAAACCTCCACCCAAATACTTTCTCTATTACTTTGCCTATTTATTTACTCAAACTGCATGAGAATTGGCTCTATGGTATTTGGTATGATTGACACAGGAATATATACTAACCGTGCTAAACATGACTTGACAGATAAGTATCAGTCCAAAGGAGTAGATATAATTAGCAATAATCTTAAAAGCATAAATAATTGCGAGGAGGGAATAGGAGATACTTCAACAGCAGCCACTAACTTCCTTGTGTTCATGTTGACTTAAAAATGACGAAACTGTAATTTTGCAATATTTTTTTCACAATAAGTTGCTTGTCATTACCAGGTGATGCAATCACGGAACGTTCAGAAATGGCTATATTTTCTTTTCCCCTCGGTATCTGTTCTTTCACTTCATTTTAGACAAATTCCTTTAAGCCTTTCCTAATGCGACCTAAAGACAACTCTTCCAATGGACTATATTCCATGTTTTATTTGTTTTTATTATTTTATACTTTATTGTTTATATCTTGTTTTTGTTTTTTTATTATAAAAAGTATTCTGCAAAAAGGTACATTGAAATCTAATTTATCATTTTAAGAAAGATGGTAACTATTGGAGGCTGGTCCTTAGAGGCTGGTGGAGCAGCACCCTCCGATTGTACTGCAATAAAAAAAAAATTAGTTGTTTTAGCACTAATTATAAGTGTATGTTAGAAAAAAAAACATGTCTGTGATTAGTTCTGCAGTTTATTGATGACTGGAGATGCTTCCGAGATGCTAAGCAACTAATAATGTCAAGGTTTGGGATATTTTTAGTAAATGTCCCATTTTTTGGGTACAGACTTTTCAAACATTCTTAGTCTACTCTACCAGTATTTCTGATGTCGCCCATTGGTTTTGTGTTGGGTCATTTAATCCCGGATGTCCTAAAAGACATGCATATGTGTTGTCCTGGCTTCTAGAGCTGTCATTCGGTAATAGCATCATGGGATGGGATCTGACCTCTTTAAACTGGTTGTTTCCCATAAACAGGTAAAAAATAAATATTTTATTTTTTTATTCTTTATTTTTGCACTGATAGACATGCAGCAGTATGACAGTGCAGGCTTATGCAAAAGCCAAATCACAATATTTGTATATTTTGGGTTACAGAAAGGAAAGTCATGTTGTTAGTGCATGTAACATTTCATACAGTGGTTAACGGCTTGTTTGCAGTCTTATCAGAGTTTTACTTTTATAATCAATTATATACATTGGCATAGCCGCAGAGAAATGGCCAAATCGGTAAGCTATATTCAACAGATGTTAACCTAAACAGGCATGGTATAATGACAGGTGATATGGTACTGTTTGTTATTACCGTATATTTACAGCAGCTAGGCTTTTGTCTGTTTATGATAGCATATTGAAACAATCTGCATACATTTGTTGGAATTTTGCCATTTTCCGCCTTCTGCCAGGTTGCAGTCGGTATGACATGCGAGAACAGAGAAAAGTGAGAAATGAGAGATTATAAGAAAAGAGAAATAAAGAGAAAAGAATCTGCGATCTCCGAGATGGCCAAGGCCCAGATCGTATCGATCATATATAGTGTGTCGCCTGAAACATTTAAGCCAGAGACCCTCCTGCTAGTGGTGCCGCTGTGTTGAAGCAGCTGTGTTGGTGAGGATGTATCCCAGAAGCTTGTGTTGTGAGTTCCTGGTGAGGATGCCTCCTAGCGTCGCTAGACCGGGTATCCCCACCCCTCCACCCCCAATCCAATTTCCTGTCCCTCCTTCCCTCCCCCCCATACTCCTTTATGTATTGTATTGTTCCCACGGGTCCCATACCCTGCTGAAAGTAGTCAGCGTGTTTCGGACTTGGATGGTTAGCTTGTCCATAAGATAATTGTCCCTGAGTTTTGCTTTAACCAGAGATAGTTGGGGGAGTTCTGTGCAGGACTACTTTTGTGCCAATGCTCTATGGGCTGCTATATTAATCATGTTAAGGAGCTTTTGTTCGTGTTTGGTGAGGCCATCTGTGGGTCTGGACAGCAGGCATGCCCATGGGTCCAAGGTCATTTTCCTCTGCAGGATCTGTGAGCTTAAGTCCACAATTTTGTGCCAGTAATCTGCTACCTGTGGGCACTCCCACCACATATGTATATATGTGCCCTTCCCTCCGCATAAGTGCCAACAGTCATCTCAGGGGTTTAGTTTAATCTGTTTCTGTTTTACCGGGGTTGTGTACCATCTGTATAGTGTTTTGTAGGATTGCTCTTGGAGTGTTACACAGATTGTTGTTTTTGAGCATGCCTCTTGCCAATCTGTTCCCTCCAACTCCTCCCCCAGGTCAGCCTCCCATTGGGCAGTGTAGTGTAGTGCCCCCTCCATGTCAGTGGCTGTACTAAGATGATTGTAAAGCAGCATAATAATTGGTTTGTGTGGTTTCGTTAAAACACATTTTTTCAAAGAAAGTCACTGGCACTGTAGCCACTTCCCTAACTGTAGCTATTTGTGCAAAGTCCCAAATTTTTTAGATATCTAAAGTAATCGCACATTTTGAGTGTGGCTACGGTGTTCAGGTGTGCATATGTAACTATTTCTTGATTGACATATAGGTGAAAATATCTTTGTAGTCCCGTAGTTTCTATCCCTCCGTAGTCTCTAGCCCTCAGTCCTGTCTGGAAAGCTCTGTTCCTAAATACTAGTGTCATTGGGGACAAGGGGGCACTCAGGGCTTTCTGTTTGGTTTGGTCTCATATTTGTATGGAGTTGAGGATAGCTGGATTAGTGGTTCTCAGGATAGCTCTTTGGTACCTGGCCCCTGGGTACCCATATGTAGAACTGGGGAAGATCCATCCCTGTTTAAAGAGACTCGAAATCTACCTAGTGTCTGTTGTCGGACGGTGTGTGCCACTGTATGATCTGGGTTAGTTGTGCTGCCAGGTAGTAGTGGTAAAGGTTGGGTAGTCCCAAGCCTCCTCTTGGTTTTTGGCAGTATAAGAGGTTGCGTGCCAGTCTTGGGCATTTGTTGTGCCATATAAACGTATCTATTGCCCTTTGCATGCCTGCTAGGTCTCCCCGGGTAACTCACACTGGTAGTGATTGAAATAGAAATAATAATCGTAGTAGGATGTTCATTATAATGGAATGTATGCATCCCAACCAGGAGATAGGTCTGTCTGTCCATTGGTCTAACTCCCAGGTAAAGTTTGGAGCAGGGTAATAGGAATGTGGGATTCGCTGTCAGACGGATGCCCAAATACATGTATTCCACCATATTTAATTTTAGATGATGTCGGCTGGAGATGAATGGCATGTCCGGGGTTGCTAAATAATAGGGCATAGCCACTGATTTAGTGAAATTGACTTTGTAGCCCGCTAGATACCTAAACCGGTCTAGTAGTAACGTTAAATGACGCAGGGATTCTAATGGGTTCCGGAGGGTCAGGAGGACATCATCGGCGTACGCTGACACCATGAATGGCCTTCCCATCACCTCCACGCCCTGAATGTATGGGTAATGTCTGATGGCCTTTAGGAGTAAATGCAGCGTCAGGGCAAATAGTAGTGCTATCACAAAGGGTTCTGGAAACCCCTGAAAGTGGAGTAGGTTGAATAGGCCACAGCACCCTGTCGAATGCTTTCTCTGCATCTAATGAGAGCGCCAGAGAAGGCATCTTGGATGTACCACAGTATGTCCACTCTCCGTCAGGTATTTTCAGACAGTTGTTGCCCTGGTATAAAGCCAACCTTGTGTGGGTGGATCAGTCGTGGAAGGAGGGGTGTGAGTCTGGTTGCTAGGATTTTTGCGAATATTTTGAGGTCAGTGTTAATGAGCGATATTGATATGTAGCTAGGGGCTAGTGTGTCGTCTTTGACACTTCTAGCGATATTTCCTTTATTGAGTGTCTGAGGGCGTTAAGGTCCTTTAATTTTGTATTGGTGGGATTGGTTTTATGTTGTTGCTCAGCTTTCCGTAGCACTGATTGTAACTCTAGTAATAATTTAGTTTTAGTATGCTTTTTATGTGCGGCTATTTTCATGAAGTGTCCACGGAGGACAGTCTTGTGAGCCGCCCATGTCATAGTGGGGTTCATTTCTGGTTTTGCGTTGAGCTCAAAATACTCTTTCATAGCTAGTCAAGTCGTTTCCTGTATGGCGGTATCGTTGAGGAGGTTAGTGTTAAGTTTCCATGTCCAGTCAGAGTTATATTGTAATTTGCCTAGCGTGATCGTTATGTCAGCGTGATCTGACCAGGTAATGTTGTTTATTTCTGTGTGAATTGCCTTACTCATCCACGTCCCATTAAGAAATATATTATCTATTCCTAAGTATATATTATGGGGCGCTGAGTAGAATGTAAAGTCTTGCGTGTCTGGGTGCTGTAGTCGCCATACGTCTAGTAGTCCAGAGTGTGTCAGGGACGTGTGAAGTAATTTATCTTGCGCCCCCCCCCCCCTTTCCCCTGTGACCTCATGGTGCCTGGTTTTGATCTTCGGTCAACTGCCGGACATGGCACCGTGTTAAAGTCTCCTCCTCCCCTTGCTCCGGCCACTTTTACCTCTCACTGCGCTCAGGTTGATTTTAGCTCAGAATCTTTCCCACAGCTGTGCAAAGCCTTGTTCCATGCGTTCCTCATGGAGGGCCCTGGACATTGTGGCGGCCATCTTTGAATGGTGACTTTGAGCTTTTCTGCAGCTTATCACTGCTGTCTGCATCATTATTGTGGCTGCGGCTGGTAGGCACACCAGTGGGGACCGGTGTAACCCCCACCAGTCCGGGGGGGGGGGGAGAAGGGCCCAAAACAAGTTGTATGATCATGAGGTGATCACCTCGCCTGATACTGTAGGCCTCTGAGGTGTGGCGTTGTGCTCCGAGAACCTGTCTGCAGAGAGCCCGTCAGACTGCTAGTGCCATGCAGGTAAGTAAAGTAGGCAGGTTTACCGTTAAAAATAGGGTGAAAGACTCAGTTGGCTGTCAGGTTCCGCCCCCTTTTTTTTACACTTTTGAAAGATTAACATGACTTGTCTGGTTTGTGATTTGGTCTTGTGTATTACTTGACATTAATACATTAAATGGACACTCCAATTTTCTCCTGGTCAGGAGCTTCCTTTTTTTCTAGTACTATAAACAGATTGTTCAGTTATTCACATATAAAGTGACCACCATATATTTATAAATATACACTATGTCTAGTCTGTTACTTGGCTTACTTGGAAGAAAAGAAATATCCAGGCACTCCTGAGGTTTCTTCTAAAAGGCAGTCTTTTTATTTGGAACAAGAAAGTAGAGACCGCGTTTCAACTCCTCTCTGAGCCTTTATCAAGTCTCTTACTCTCTGTTATCTAGTCTGTTATTTGGGGCATGTACAGTCTTAATGAAAGTTGAAACTTGAAAACAAGACCAATTTGGCTTTAAAACTGGAATATTCACAGGCAACTTTATCCATTGATATAGTCGCATATTCTCTTAATAATAAATGATTAAAAGAGCCTGGTCATTGCTATCCACAGCTTTTATTGATGGCTAGCTTGGCACTGAAGCCAATAAAGAAGCACATTTTAGCACATTTCCTGCAGACTAATAAGTAGTTGGTGTTATCGTGGCTGTAATCTATGGATACGTTCTGTGACTAGGGTTGTCCTGTCACACACAGGCTTTGATTTATCCAGGGAAGGGACATTCATGCCTATATACCGCATACACAGTTTGAAGGAATTTTAACACAAGGCACTATTTCTCCAATCCAGGATAAAATAACCTTTGGTTAAACTATTTGTTTGCCTCTTTGGACCATTGACTTCAAAGTCCTGCTCTTGCCCATTGGGAATTTATTTCCTGAGTCCAGGGAGACAGGCCCCACTGGAGAGAGCTGTTTGGGTTTTGTAAGATGTTAACTTGCAGAGCGAATTTTCTTAACATAAACAATCACATTTTGCAGCTCAGTTTAAATCTAATAGCTGAAACTGACCCCACGACATCCTGCTGGTCTTATCAGGCAGGAAACACTGTGCTGGGGATACTTCCTCTCCCCCTCTACAAGCAGTAAAGTGTAGCCCTTCTTGGCAGGTCTTTGCAGGAAAATACTCAGCAGCTTGTCTAATTCCTCCTGTCTAATCGGAGGGCAGAGAACTGGTAGCTCAATCACAGCAACAGAGAACCAGGAAGAAGATTATCACAATAACAACTCTTAACGATTCTGTCCCACTCCCTCAATGACTGATCAGAAATCTGCAGAAGGTGTTTCATGATGGGGGTTACTGACATCTCATAGAGAGCTTTAGGTTTGGGTGAAATCTATATCACAGTAATGCATTTGGAGATTAACGATTAATATATAAAAATGCTTAAGGAAGAACAGTAGCTGCTTATAGATACATATATAACAATAACAACCAGAACAAGGTATCAATGTAACAGCTGCCATAAAATTTATATCGATGTAATTACTTACAAAATTGCACGGCCAATGTGTAAAAACTGTTAAAAAAAAATTGGACAATGGATCAGATTATTGTTCTTCAGCTTTAGAGTAGTCAGATAGCTCAGAGGTTAGTGTTCCAATTGTTGTATCTTTAGTGCTGATTGAAAGGTTTTATTATTGGCATGACCACCTTGGGCTTTCAGCCTTCCTCGGTTAATACAATGTTGGAAATTCCACAACATGAATTGTTATTAAATACATTACTATTAAAATAATAATAGCTTCTCAATAAAAGGAGACATCTAACTGCCATTCTGGGGTCAAGAAGGAATTTTTTCGTGATTTATTGCAAAATTGGACTGGGGAGTTTATTTGCCTTCTTTTAGATCAACAGGAGAAAAAGATGTGTGAAAGGCTGGGTTTGATGAACGCATGTCTCTTTTCAGCTATGTAACTATGTAAACATATTATAGTATTTATATCGCTTCAAAAGATCCTGCAGCACTTTACAATTACACTAAGGGAATATTTAGAGGTGAAGAATGCCCTGCTCAAATGAGTTTACAATTTGTGTGGATTTGAGGTAGGCAGATATATATATATATATTTATTAATATATCATTAGGTGTCTTGCTCAGGGACACTTCCTTTGTGGGATGGCCTGTCCAGGATTGAAACTTGGGTGTCCCAATTCTAAGCTGTGGACTCCGTGAATTAATTATTATCATAATGAGAATAACTTGTTACATTGTTAATAAATACTTACAATTGTACCTCTTTTTGTTCTCATATATTGTTTTAATAATGAAAACAGGAGAAATCTCAATGTATCCATCCTGGTAAAATATTTTATAAATAAATAAATATGTGAAGTCCATTCAGATATCTTTATAGTTATCATACAGTTGCAGAGGCAAATATACCATACTTATAGTTAGTTTATAGTTAGAAATATTTATATTTATACTTCTCACTCATAGAAAGCAACAAAAAATGGGGCAAAGAAGATGAAAGAGATCATATTGCTATTCAGCATATAATGTAGGTGTTGGATATGCTATTACAGAAAATCTAGAAAGTGAATGAGGTTAAACAGTATCTAAAAGTCAGGGAGAAAATAGAACAAATAGTGAATTTGATAGGAAAGAGAATAGGCAAAACTGAAGTTTGTGGGAAACTTTATACATTGTGAAAAATTTAAATGAAAAATAAACTTTTAAAAGGTGAAAGAAGTATAAGACTGTAGAAGGTGTAAAACAATCTATAGGAGCACCTTTAAGGGTAGGAAGAGGCAAAAAAAGCTTATCAGAAGTGGGTAAGATGGGAAAAGCCTTGGGGGTGGGGAGATGGAACTGTCACGTATTCATCCGCACATAAAAATGTGGTTAATGGCATTTACCGTCCTGACAGGAAAAGTTGTGCCGAGCAGCAATCATGCACATGGAAACCTGGTAATTACTTTTGGGGTCAAAGGCCGGTCACGACC